CCTGGAACAACAGAGGCAGTGTGGCCTCTGGGAAAGTAGGAGTTAGATTTAGGTGCAGGGAGATCCACCACTCACTCACAGGCTGGGTCACGACCTCGCTGTGCTTCGGTTTCCTCGCCTATAATTTGAGGAGTAACTTACTTCACTGGGTTGTAGTAAGAATGAAATGAGATAATGTGTAGAGTTCCAGGGAAGATGACAGTTTTGTCAGGGTGAATATAGCAAATGACCTCCAACCCACCCCAGACCTGGCAACAACCAAAGAATAACAGAAGAGGGGGCTCCTCCTGCAGGACACAGCCAGGGAAGGGCACCTCTGCCTGTGGCAGACTCAGAGGAATAGTGGCAGCCAGAAGAGGTCCGGCTATAGGAAATACCCAAGACTGACTCTAGGGTCAGACATTCCCTCCTGACCATCCTAGGACACAGTGGAGGATCCTGACAGTCTCCCGGACCCTCTGATCTGTGAAACTTAGAACTTTGTGAGCGAGGGTCATGGAGGAAGCCCCTCATAGCAGCAGATCCATTACAGTGGGATCAGCTGTCAGGCAGGCTCTCAGACACAGTGGGGGAGAGACTCCAGAAACTAGAAATCAGTAACAGACGTCTACATCAGTTACAAAAGCAGAAATGAATGGTAACAGGAATATGACAAATGAAAACTTACAAGAAAGCAAAGGTGACCTTTCAACTGCTCCAAGTAAGACTGACAAATCTCAGCTTGCATAATACAAAAAAAAAGAGAAAATTCCAACACAACTAGAAATAATACGTATATGATCAAAGATACAGAGATTAAAATATAGAGAAATACCTTCTCATAATTCTGTCCTACTTTTTTTAAATCTCAAGAAATGAAGGGCATCTTAAGAAAAATTCTGATTACCCCAATTGTGTGGAAAAAATCTGAACAGACCAATTACCATGAAAGCAACTGAAAAGTTACCAAAGCATTAACTCCACAAAAGATACCCACTCCTATGTGCAGGTTTTTGAGGAAATTCCATATTGTTCCCCACAGTGGTTGCATTATTGGATTGTTGGAAAAGTCATGATGCATTTTTTTTTCTCTTTTTCTATGCAAAAGTGCATCATGATTTTTCCAACGACCCAATAATTCACATTCCCACCATCAATGTAGGAGTGTTCCCTTTTCACTGCAGCCTTGCCAGCACTTTCCTCCCCCCACCCCCATCCCCGCCCTTCCTTCTTTCCTTCCTTCCTTTTAGAGGTGTTTGCCTTAGGATGAGAGCACTCACCAGAGACAGACAGACACAGTGAGAGGGAAAGTAAGAAATCACCCTCCCTCCCCCCGCAGGGGGGATGGTCACGATACAATCCCCTCCTCCATTCTTGTCCAGGGATCTTGGGTATCTATACAACATGCGCTCAGCTTGATTTTCAAACCTCTAGGTCCAGGACTTGAACTGCAGTTGGCCATGTGGGAGTCTAGTGATACAACCACTACAGCATCTGCTGGTCTCCATTCTTTATTTTTTAAATCTTATCCATTCTGACTGGGGTTAAATACTCTATGGATGGAATGTTACTCAACCATAAAAAATGAGACTATGCTATTTGATAGAAAGTGGATGAATTTAGAGGATTTAATGCTGAGTAAGCAAGCCAGACTATGAAAGAGAGGCACTGTATGTCCCTGTTTAATATATAATGAATGTCTGCACTTGGTAGTAGAAGATATAAAAAGCAGAAAGAGCCACTGTGGATTGTAGAAGATGGACAATGGGGGGGGGGGGCAGAATGAAGGGAGAAAAATAGCAAAATATTTAATAGACATAAAAATGAAAGTCATCAAGATGATAATGTATATGGCAATACTTTGCATTAATACAAAGTCTATTCATGCCTGGAAAGTCCACTTTGTATGCTGTAAAGATGTGCACTAATTAAATGTAAAAAAAATTAAAAAGAAAGAAAAATGTAGAAAGATACTGACTCCACAAGTTCTTCTACACTGTTAAGATACAGATAATATTCATACAAGATTAGCTATTTTCAAGCATTGAAAAATACTTGTCATGTTATAATGCTAGATTTAGCTCATCTAAAATTGCAGAACTTGATAAAGTGCACAAACACTACTGGTCAATCTCATCTATTGTGAAAAATATAAAAATTCTAAATATAATATTGTGGTTGTATCCATTGGGCTGAACCCCTGGCCTGCTATTTCACCACAGTTCGGGGAACTTCAAATGGCAGATGTGGTCCTCCAGCGAAGCCATGGCAACTCTTCTCAGGCATCAAGATGACCCTTAAAGTCTCCTGGTTTGCAAACCAAGTGGCTGCCTTCCTCCCCAGAAAGACAGAACTTCAACTGTCCCGATCTCTTGCCCTCAGCCCAGCTCTGGTGTAATGGGGTGTCCTTGGTAATTCAAGTGCCAAAAATGAGATAAACAAAGCACAAGAGGGTGATTTGGGACATCACCTTTGGATGTGAGAGTCAACTGCCTGGCCACACCAGGTGCAGGTGATCAAGGTCAATCCGTGTGACTTATCTTCTCCCGGCCTTCCTCTCCTCCTCCAGCTGTTCCCCTCAGCCCGATGGTACTCTCCTTCTTACTCTCCCCACAGCCCTGAAGGAAGCACTCCTCCAGTGAATATGAGCCTCATGAGAATGGAGAAGTATGGAGGAAACAGACACAGAAAGCCAGGAAGAGAAGTTGTCTGAGGTCATACATTAGCCAGGGGCTCTCCCTGACTGAATCCAGTGACTTCTCTTAAATCACTGTCTCAGCTACAGGTGTGCAGGTCATGACCACCTGCCTCCCATCAGCCAAGCAAGGGTTACCTACCGCAGAGTGAACATTTGAAACCAGCCCCTTACCAAGCCAGGATACTCCCCAGTTTAAGAGTATCCCAGGGCCCCCTGTATCACATCTCTATGGCTTCCCTCACACCTATCCACTGCCAAGAGCTCTGGTTTCCAAAATCGACATCTTGTACCCAAGGCATCCTTCTAGAACTTTGACAGCCACTGGGGAGGAGAACCTCATACAGAGTCCTTTTTTTTTTGAGAGGTTTTCACTGTAGGGTGCGTGCGCTCACCAGACAGACAGAGAGAGACAGAGAGACTGAAAGCGAGAAATCACCCCCCGGGGGACGGTCACGCCGCAATCCCCTCTCCATTCTCCTCTCGGGATCTTGGGCACGCGCGTACACGCGCCCGGCGTGAGTTTTAAGCCACCGGGTCCGGGACGCGAACCGCGGTCGACTACGTGGGAGTCCAGCGACATAGCCATTACGCTAACTGCTGGTTCCCTCCCCAGAGTCCTTTTTAACATTAGTATCAAAATTGGAGCTCCTTCTTATTTTACCAGCAATAGTTTGGTGTACGTGATTCCTGGCTCTCAGCTGTGAGCAGGTTGCAACACAAAAGCTCTCAAGTTTGCAGCGTCAGTCTCAAGTCTAAGAGCAATGGATTCCTTAGAAAAATAGGAAACCGAGCCGCCTTCTCCTATGTCCCACTCCTGGTGGAGAGATAAGCCCATGATGTGGGTACTTGAACAAGAAGAGTCTTTTCGCTTTTGAGTCCTGGAATATCCATTAGCCTATTTTCTCATTTTCCTGTTGTATGAGCCATCTTCAGTTTATAATGAATCTGGTGTTATTAAGGAGAGATACTGAATCCCCAGCTGTTGGAGCTAAATGAGAGTATGGAACTGCTGCATTAACAGTAACTAGAGAAAAATGCAGGTGCTCTCCCAAGAATAGGGTGAACTTGCATTTGAATGCTTCCCCCCCCCCACATTCATCACAATGAGTTTTCTTTCCAAAAAGATAAGACCTAGTTTTCAAGGTGATAGAACTTAGCAGCATCTTAAACCACACTGCTGCTCTATTCAGCCCCACAACTTAGCTGACTTGGGGAAACAATCCAAGTCCAGATCTAAATTAAGCTACAGGTTAAATAAGTGATGGGACACTTTCTTTTTTAGCATGGGATCCCTTTTCTTTAAAGCCAGGTCCTGTGCACCCTCGTGTGTGAGGACCAAGGAAGGACTGAAATTGACAAATCACATCCAGAGCAAGAAACGCCAACCTCTTCCTTTCTCATGATCCTCTCTAGAGTGGGGCTGGAGTCCATGCCCAATAGATGCTTCCGAGGTCCTGTCGGCCACGCACACAAAGGCGTGGGAGCACCCTCTCCCGGCAGCGCTGACTCGGATGCTGCTGTGGCTTGGACATGTGAGACTCTGGAGAGGGAAGCCAGAGCACCCAACCAGAGCCTCCATCTTCATACACTTCTGCAGTAGGCGCAGGTGCCAGCAAGTTACACATAGGGGCCCTTCTCCTCCATTGCAAGGGAACCCCTCCGTGGTTGGATTTCCAAGGGTGTGGCCATTTACGCTGTACGCAGAGGTATGGGGCTGTGTGTAGCCCCGCCAGGCAGATCCTGGCTGTGGAAGCGTGGTGCAGGCTCTGCCGCCCCACTGGCCCCACGGAATATGCACACGTGTCCGCCCTGATGTGTTGATAATGCTGTGTCATGGAGGCCTTGATCAGTTAGCAGCTCTCAGGTGCTGGCTGTGGTCTGAAAGTCACAATTCGCACAGGTGAAGACTAGAGGAGGGGAGGAGTTACTATCTCTTGGGCGCCTATCTGAGAGTCTCATGACACACAACCTCATACAATGTCCAATGACCTTGTGATATAAATAACACAACCGTGACTTGTTTGTTTACAACCCTTATTTTTATACAAGGTGAACCAAGGTTCAGAGATGTGGGTCGTATAGCTGACCTGAGTCCTGAACTCCACCTCTCAATCCTCCTTCTTTCCCCTGCCCCGACACCAGCCACTCTACTCTCACTCCATCCAAGGTGATCTTGCCCATGAACACATCCTACTTTCCAAACTGCAGTTAAACTTTATTAAATGTATCCTATTCTCAAAGAGCAGTTTAGAAATGGGAAAAAAAGGAGTCTAGGCAATACAAAAGGAAAGAAGGGGAAAAAAGTGCAAAATGGCAGCTTGCGTATCATTTATATACAGCTTTATTTGCGATTCGTTGACACCAGGGGGAACAAGACCAGGTATACATGTTCTTCGGGAAATAGCTTAGACACCGGGTGCTCAGATGCCCTCTCCATCAGGGAGCATGGCCGCGGGTGCCCCTTACACCCACTGCCGTGCTGCGCTGAGGGCTGTGCTGAAAGTCCTCAGGGCCCGATGAGTCCCCCTCGCGGCCAGAAGGAGCGACCCCGCTTCGGCTTCATGGCCGGCCTCCTGCAGGTGCCTGGCCAGCTCCTCCACATCCCAGTGCCCTTGCTGGAGGCTGGCCAAGAGGTGGCCAATGACGTGCGGGTAGAAGGGCGTGGAGACACACTGCACCAGCAGCTTGGCGTCCAGGAGCAGGGACAGGAGTTCCTGGTCACAGTTTGCATCATTCACCTTTAAGAAATGAGACAGGCGAAAACCATGAGAGGGTGTTTGCTCAGTTCTCTCCCCAGGCGTATCCCGCTGTGTCAAGGTGTCACAACTGCTGGGTTGTGACACGTTGCCTTTTTGCCTGTATCTTCATACATACCTTCACCTGGACGGCACCGCGTCTGCTCAAAAAGCTCACAGAGGACATGGGCATCTCTGCAGTCACTGACGTGGGCTAACAGACACGGTTTCAGAGCAGTCACAGGGCCAGCAGGTAGCGTGGTGGTGAAGGTCCAGGACTTCCATATGGCCAACATGGTTTGGGTCCTGGACCCACGGGCTTGAAAATCACACTGGGTATATGTGCATGTATGCCCAAAATATCCCCAGAGGAGAATGGAAGAGAAGGACTGAGGTGTGGTCATCCCCCGCCACCAGGGTCCTGGGTCATGGCTGTACCTACCATACACCATGTGCCAGAAACTGAGCTGAACAGTGCACAAATACTACTCCCCGGAGCCCTCCCAACTCAGCCCAGTGAAACTGCACTTGCGCCTCTCAGTTTTACAGATAAGGAATTCCAGCATGAGAACTTTGCTTAGCACCGTCCCTGGGAAGCGAGCTGTAGAGCCACAGTCTGAATTCAGGTCAGCGCTGGCTTCAGAGCCTCAACTCTGAATGACCCATCCACCCTCACGTGTGCTTTCTCTGTGGTCCATATCTTTAACCCCAGATCTCTGTGACATGCAGACCTAAAGAAAAAAACATTTCTTTTTGGAACTGAAAAGCTTTTCTTCTCCATGTGAGATCCAACTCCTTAGCCACTAGGCCACAGGGCTGGCCCACCCCCACTTCTGACCCGGAAAGATACTCAGGCTGGACTCTGCTGAGTTTTGCTTGGTTTTATTTGTGGGATCGTGGCTGGTGCAGACTAACCTTCTGCCTCCCCGGCATAAAAGCTTTCAGTGCCACCCCTGGGGCTGCCTCTGAGTTCTGTGTCACTTTTCTATCCAACTCGCTAAACCGCCCTTTCTCTTCACCCCCAGTAAACAGAGCTCCCGCCCTTCCTATGTGGGAAGCTGCACACCAGCAAGTCTGCCTAGGTTTCTCAGAGAGCAAACAATTACCATGATTGGTTCCCTTCCAAAAACCTGACCTTCGAAACCTTGCTCTGATTGGCCACTAGAATCCCTCAAATTTGCATATCCGGCACCTCATGATTGGTCCAAAAGCAACCAATCATAACCCACCGTTAACAACCAATCAGGGACCACCGTTAACAACCAATCAGGGCCCACCATTAACAACCAATCAGGGCCCACCGTTTACAACCACC